TCTGTCAACTTTGGCTCTATGATTTGCTACTCAATATTGGGCCCATTTTTTCCCACCGAGGTAAGCTCAAGGAAGCCAGCATCATAGGGTACAAATCACATGTTACAGCACAAGAGGTTAAAGGTTCAAGATAATAAAAACTTTAAAAAACTTAGCTTATGAATGCAGCTTTTGACTGAAGAAATAAAACACGTTCTCTCATACATGCAAGTCATATATCTGCAAACAAATCTTTTCTAGCCAGAGGAAACTGGGAACAAGCATCTCCTTCTACTAAAATGTATTTGTGCTCCCATGTAGTTGTACAGTTCACAGGTTAGACTATTGTTCACCTTAAGAACTCAGTAATGTCTTCTGAAGGCAATGAATGAGTAGTCATACGCTACCAACAGACATCCTCCCTGAAGGCCAGTGAAGACTGGCTCTTTTGTAATCAGCCGTTCAACTTAAGGTCTGTCATGAGCTAGAAATGCAAATGTTGGAAAAGAGTGGCACAGCAAGCTGGCTAGTTAAAAAGACATTATATTATCCTTGTTGTTTTTGTTGCTGTTATGTAAATCCCCTAACTTTATCTGTTGTCCTGTTTTAATATTTAGGCAGTGAAGAAAGGAGCCAGTCAGACTGTAGTTGGTCTCATATTTGGGTGTTATGCTGTCTCCAATTTAATTAGTTCATTGATACTGGGAAAATATGTAAGTATACACTTTAACTTCATGCCATATGCATGGCAATTTGCAGCACAGGTGTAACCAAAGAGTCTGTAACAGTGCAACTGACCCATTCTTTGTGTATCAGATTGTCCAGATTGGTGCAAAGTTCATGCTTATTGCAGGACTTTTTGTATCATCGTGCTGCACTATTATATTTGGGTAAGTGATCTGTGTTTCGTGTTAACTATGATAATGATAAAATTGGAAAAAATCCAGAATCTCATTGTGACAAAAGGACTCAACAACTCCAAGGATCATGCTGATGTTCTGTCACTTTATTTGTCTTACACACACCTTTTCAGTGTGCTTTTGGAGTTCGCTTTTCAGCATGACTCAGCGAGTTGCTGCTGCTGCTTCTGCTCTCCGACTCTCCACACAGCGTGCTGCTTAAATAGGGGAGGCATGATTAAACAGTGGTTACCAGCTGTCAGCCATCCTCCCCTGGCACTGCCTCCTGAACCTGCTGCTCTATCCCTCTTCAGTAGCCGAAAAACAAACAACACCCCCGCCACACTCCCACAAATTTCCTGAAAATACCAAACTAACAATGAATTTATTCATGTAAAAAATAATGTTTTGTGCTAAATAAACAAAATTAAAACAGCTGTGTAGCAGGCGGATTGTGGAAACAAATACAAAACTTGGGAAGTAAGGCGTAAACTCAAAATATAGCTTTAATGTTGCCCACTCATAAGGACACAAAAGGTTCAAGATAAACCATGACAGAAAATATAACAAAGTTCACGGGGAAAGATGATACGACAACACAGAAAGAATAAGACAAGAAAGACAAGACTGGAGGAACAGAATCAAAAGGAGATGAATGAACTTGGAGAACTGAAGGTATATAAAAAAGGAACTTATATGAAGCGTCAGGACATAAACAGGACACATAAAAACAAAAAAATCACAATGTGAATAGAAAGCTAGATTCCATGAATACAGAACCCTAATCCAAACATAACCCATAATACAAAACGAGAAAGAACCCCTCTGGGGCCAAGGCCCAGAGACCATGGCACAATCACCTTTGTTTCAGCTCCCACGCAGTTCCTCTGAGCTTCTTTATTTCATCTGCATTTCCTTTAATCTTGGCTGGCTCTTGTCTTCTTTGCAGATTTCTTGATCGGGCTCCTGCAGGACCTATATTCATCAGTCTGTGCTTTGTTGTGAGGTCGCTTGATGCTGTCGGCTTTGGCGCTGCTACAATGTCTGCTTTCGCCATCACAGCACAAATATTCCCAAACAATGTGGCAACTGTTCTGGTGAGGGTGGACAAACTTGTCAGACTGGCATGCTGTTTAGACATTAGAATCACGAGAAAACAGAAACTATAGGTTTAAGTTGTTATGTATCTCCAGAAAACAACTGGCTCTTGGCTATGATGTAAGAAATTCCCACAGTAATCTGGGTCACTACTGTTTTAGGGTATTTTGGAGATTTTTGCAGGACTCGGCCTTATCCTGGGACCACCACTGGGAGGGTGGCTCTACCAGACTTTTGGATACAATGTCCCTTTTTTAAGTCTTGGATGCTTGCTGTTGATTATGGTTCCTTTCAACATTTACGTCCTGCCGTCCATTGGTATGTAACACTTGAGATTTAGGTGTATTGTTTGGGTTTATTATTTAAAAATTGCCATTTTGTGTTTTTTCATTTTTCTCACATTATAACTGAGCTGTAATTTTGTGCTTCCCTCCTCTCAGAGGCAGTCCCATCGAAGGATTCATTCTTTCGACTACTCACCCACGTGAAAACAATCCTGGTTTGCTACGTGGTATTCACTCTCAGTGCAGGTGTGGGCTTTTTGGATGCCACTTTGTCACTGTTTGCTATTAACAGGGTAAGGATATCCTTTATGATAAAGTCAGCTTACGTTTCCTAGAGTTTTTGTGCATTCCTTGAACAACTTTTTTTCCTATCCATCATCCTTAGTTTGGTCTCTCAAATGGCTACGTGGGACTAATAATGCTTGGTTTGCCTTTAGTGTATATTCTGGCATCACCGCTGATGGGGTATTTCACAGATAAATATCCTGTATGTATCCAAGAAATCAAAATCATTAAATGTGTATAATTATCTTTTTTCTTTTCTTTTTAAATAAAATTTGATCTTGTGCACCAGGCCACTAGGAACGCTCTCTTGGTGACAGGCGGCATCGCTGCTACAATTGGCTTCTGTCTTCTTGGTCCCGCCCCTTTTCTTCACATCCAGAGGTTAGTGTGGGATTCAGGTAAAACTAACACTTCTGTATTTTAAAATGATGGACATTTTAAGAAATATGTCTATCCCCCTGTTAGGGAAAATATTCTAAAACACTTCTTCAGTAAAGACTCAGAGAAGAGAAACACACAGAACTTCTTGCTAGCAAGGGCAGCTCCCTACTGAGAGACTCGCACTAAGAAACTGCCCCAATCTTTATTTATACTTCAGTAGGTGTGTGTGTGTGTGTGTGTGTG